GCAACTAGTCATCACCACCCACCGCCAACTCTTGGGCTAATCTTTTATCAACGACCGTCACATTATAACGCCCCCGCGGCTGAGCATGTTTGGTGTGACAGGGATTCGAACCCGCGAACCTCAAATTGCGAGTCGAGTGCCTTAACCACCTGGCCATACCGGGCCTCAGGTTCAGCATTCAATAATTTACTTTAAAAAAAAAGAAGATAAAAAGGACAAAACGTAATAGACTTTATAATAATTTCCAATTTAATAATATCTATAAAAAACAAAATATAGCTGCTTATGAATGGACCAAAAGCTAAAACTTAAAACTGTTGGCCGATTCTATCCTCCCCACCCCCTCAACACGCGCTTCCCAGCTGGGTTTTCATTTGTCAGAGCAGCGTGTCATTTGGGAGGATGGTGTGGGTAACACAATCATTTTTGCGCCGCTTGGATTATCCCTCTTTCTTTTCTTCTTCCCACACCTCATCGTTATAGTTTTATTCTGAAGGAAAACACGAGGTCAAAGTGGCACATGGAAAGTGTCCTTTCACAACTGTACGGTCAGTTTGAAGAGAAAAAATGGACATCCCATTCCCTAAATTTCTCAGAATAGAACAAGATCAACAAAACCAAGGAAATGACTGTCTTTGTCCAAAACACTACTTTCAAAGTCTGTGAAATTTAATATCTTCATCCATATGCCATTAATCGGCATATTAGCATATTAGTTTGATTCTGGTGGTCTCCCGCGACCCTCAGACTGCAAGTCGAGTGCCCTAACCACCTGGTTATGAAACATTATATTTTATGGTAGAGTTTTGGCTTTAATGGACTGCTCCTTCCTCAGTTCATTAAAGCCAAACTGTATTACGTCTACGCTGCCTAAAATACCTTCTGAAACAACACGTTAAAGCTGTTATCACTCAGGAAAGCCAAAAACTTAAGATGTGATATCATTTGCGTTCACAAAGTCAGGTCAACGGTGCCACCACAGGTCCGTTCTAACTACAGCAACAATAAGCCTGTAACCCTAAAAGCTCAAAGTATGAGTTAATCCCGTCAATGAAATAGCATTTTGGATGTTGCAAATGTTGTGTGGTTCACGTACTATAATATGTTATCCTTTGCTTTCACTAAAGGATTCTTAAAAATACTAATGTATTATTCTTTCGTTGACGCTGTGGCGCTCCTGTCCCGCTCCAGGAACGAGAAGACGAGTTAATTAAAATAAAGATAAGTAAATAATCGATGTTAAAATAAGACGAATAATGTTGTGTTATTACTTCTTATCGTAAAAATATAATTTGAAAATGACTTAAACTGGGTTGATAATAGTTACAATTCACTTGCTTCTGGTTCACGCCATAACAGTCGTTGTTCATGATAATTTATGATATATATATAGAGAGAGTTTGTTTGTTTGTTTTTGAATTTCGCGCAAAGCTACACGAGGGCTATCTGCGCTAGCCGTCCCTAATTTAGCAGTGTAAGACTAGAGGGAAGGCAGCTAGTCATCACCACCCACCGCCAACTCTTGGGCTACTCTTTTACCAACGAATAGAGGGATTGACCGTCACATTATAACGCCCCCACGGCTGAAAGGGGGAGCATGTTTGGTGTGACAGGGATTCGAACCCGCGACCCTCAGATTGCGAGTCGAGTGCCTTAACCACCTGGCCATGCTGGGCCATATATAGAGAGAGAGCCTAGACTATTACTATGTATGTCGTATCCCAGCTGGCCAGATGCGAAAGGCCTCGTCGGCTCTGGATATTGCAGATGTAATGTGGTTCACATATCATAATATATTCTCCTTTATTTTAACGCACGGCCACTTAGAATCTGTATGTATAAAAGGTTCATCAACAAATCATTCTCGAAGTTTTAGTTCAGTTATATATATTAATTCACACCCTTATCTATAAGACTGCATCATTAGTTCACATGACGAGACGATGGGGAGAAAAACAAAACAGCTGTGATGTTTCTGTAAAAGATTCATGTCTGATTGTCATTGTTATTCTATACGTGTGGTGTTGACGTAAAGTCTTTTAAACGTGGGAAGACTTTAAAACTTTACATATGGCTTAGTGTTCTTATTTTATAAACTTTCTAAGTTCAGTGTTTTGCCTTTCGTTTCAACCATCATCCTTTTAATACTAAATTTGCTAAGATTTTCACACATAGAAGAAAAAAAAACCTTTGTATTTGCCCAATTTTCAAATAAGTATGAAATCTGAACCTCACAAAAGGTTGAAGTCAGACTGACCATGTACAGATATCTGAATAAGAAGACAAACAAGATGATGTGAAATAGAAAGTTCAATAGCGGTAATTTATACATAATTCTATAGGATGATCTTATGAAAGATAACATGAAGAGAAATGTGTAAACGTTAACGAAACTAGAGAAGCGATATCAAAAACGTTTCTTAATTTTTGATGAAACCATGAATCATTAATACCGACTGCATGTCCCAGGGAAATATTACATAAAATACGCATACTTTTGTGTGTCCCAGGGAAAGATTACATAAAATACGCATACTTTTGTCAGTGTGTGTATTTATTATGTAGACGTATAAGTGTGTGTTTGGTTTAACACTGTTTTATCATGTCCCCAAACCACGGGATAATGTCTACTCATAACTCCTATTTTAATAATGTTACTAGTGTTAAGTCATTTTATTATTACTATATAATATTTCATTGTCTTTCCAAATTTGTAGTGCATA